TCTATCCATGCATCCATTTTTCTTTCTTTTTTCTTCAAGAGCTAAAATTAGACTGTATGTCGCGTCACCTGCTGTGTTTTACACAGAAGCTTAAATGGAAGCTTATCCAGCCTGAGGGATTTAGGTTAGCTTTGTGTAGGAAGGAGAAAATGTCTGATGTGCTTTGTCAATGAGTCATTGAGGAAAAGTGCAACATTTTCTTCTCTGGAACTCTTAAAATATAATAGGATAAACTCTCATCTTGTTGATGGCAAGGGCATGACCCCGCTTTACTGCCCTCTTATTCTCTGATACGTGGGCAAACCCTGAGAGTGTTTTTCTGAGCACTTACTTCTCCCAAAAGTGGCGGGAGGAAATATTGGTTAGAATATGATGTAAGACAGACTTTTATTAGTCCCTCACTTACTCTTGCCTTGAGGACTCAAGTGTGCCTCTCTTCCAAGAGTGTGAGACTGCTCAAGTTTTCGTCTTTAGATATTAAAGTCACTGTAAAATTCTACTCTGACTAATCTGGAATAAAGACAGGAAAGATTAGTGTCATGAGGATATAGTTTTACTTGAGAAAATCATTTTAAATAGGCTTAAATCTAAGAGGGAGAAGCTGCTTTGTCTAGGCTGACTGTTTGCCTAGACTGTTTACCTCAGATCTGCTAAGATAATTCTGTGTGTGTGTGTGTGTGTGTGTGTGTGTGTGTGTGTGAGAGAGAGAGAGAGAGAGAGAGAGAGAGAGAGAGAGAGAGAGAGGGAGAAGGGGAGAGAGAGAGTGAGATAAGTGTTGTGAAGACTTTCTTTTTACTGGGTGCGTTATCTAAATGTAGAGGCCACTGTTGTTAGAGAATTAGAGAGAAGGTCTAGTAAAAAGGTTATGGTAACTATTTTAACCCAAATCACAGCTTTTTGGATCCATAATTTTCTCAGAACATCTTTCTGAGTGTGCTTATATATACCTGCCCCTCCCCACCCCCCCGCCCCAATACACATACGCGAGATGTGGCTTCCATCTCCTTTCCATAGAGATATAACAAGGTAGGGGAAAGTATTTTCTTTGTTGAATATTTTTGATTGTAAAGAAATTTAATGTTCATTCATTCATTTAACAAATGCTCATTGAACTCATTGAGTGTAGGCACTGTGCTGAGAATGGGGAATAGGAGACCGTCTGCAAGCATTCAGGAGTGGCAACAAGCCTTTTAGTCAGTGCTGCGTGTGTAACTGTTAATATGCACCTGTTTCTTGGTGGTCTTAGAAGAGAAGTCCTTGTGCCTTCAGGATAAAGTCTAAACTCCTCAGCCTGAGAAGACAATTTACAGTCTAGTCTCTATTTGTCCTTCTAGCCTCATCTCCTAACATCTCCTATGCCCCCTTTTGCTCACATCGTTCCTATGGGGAGCATTTATCAAGCCCCTTACTAAGTATTGGGCTTTTTCAGATAACTTGTGTCTCCCTAGACCTGTTCCTTCATGCTTGCTTGCCTGAGTCCTTGAGGTTTTCCTCTAGTGGAATGCTTTGCCTCCATTTGCTGGTGTGACACTCACCCACTTCTCTCTTTGTCCTTCCCACTAGTCCAGTGAGACCTTGGAGGACAGAGTCTGTCTTTTTCACTGTGGGCCTCAAGCACCTAGGATGGTGCTTAACATATAGTAACCTCTCAGTCGGTGTGTGTTGAACAAATAAATGAGTGAGGAATAGTGTAATCCAGATCTCTTGTGATGGTGAACTCGCTTAGCTTTTGTTTATCTTGGAAAGTCAATTTTTTCTCCTTCATTTTTGAAGGATGGCTTTGCTGGCTATAGTGTTCTTGGTTTGCATTTTTTTCTTTCAGCACTTTGAATATATCATCCCAATTCCTTGTGGCCTACAAGGTTTTTCCTGAGAAATCCACTGAAGATTTTACGGGAGCTCCCTTGACGAGTTGCTTTTTTCTCAAGTTCAATGAGCTTCTTGAATTTGGATGTCCATTTCCTTCCTCAAATTTGTGAAGTTTTCAGTCATTATTTCTTCATATAGGCTCTCTGCCTCCATTTCTCTCTGTTCTCCCTCTGGGACTCCCATAATATGTATATTGATCCATTTGGTGATCTCATAAGTCCCTTAGGCTTTCTTCAGTTTTGTTCATTCTTTTTTCTTTTTGCCCCTCTGACTCAATGATTTCAAATGACTTGTCTTCAAGTGTGCTGATTCTTTCTTCTGCTTGGTCAAATCTGATGTTGAACCTTTCTAGTGAATTTTTTTAATTCAATAATTATATTCTTCAGTTCCTGATTTCTGTTTTTTTAAAAAAGTTTCTATTTCTTTGTTGATATTCTCATTTTATTCATATATAATTTTACTCATTTCATTTAGTTATCTATCTGTGTTCCCTTTTAGCTCATTGAGCATCTTTAAGATGGTTATTTTGAATTTATTGTCAGGTAATTCATAGCTCTTCATTTCTTTAGGGTTGGTTTCTGGAGCTTTATTTTTATTTTTTATCTTTTTGGTGAGGAACATTGGCCCTGAGCTAACATCTGTTGCCAATCTTCTTTTTGCTTGAGGAACATAGTTGCTGAGCTAACAGCTATGCCAGTCTTCCTCTATTTTGTGTGTAGGTCCCTGCCACAGCATGGCTTGATGAATGGTGTGTAGGTCTGTGTCTGGATCCAAATTGTGAACCCTGAGCTGCTGAAGTGGAGTGTGTGAACTTAACCACTATGCCACTGGGCTGGCCCCTATTTTGTTATTTTTGATTAGGCTGTGCTTTCTTATCTCTTTGTGTACTTTGTGATCTTTTGGCAAGACTTGGGCATTTGAAAAGATGGTCACCTCTCCCAGCCTTTATGGACTGGCTTCATGCAGGAGATGACCTTCATCAATCAGTATGAGTAGAGATTCTGGGGGCCTCTCAAATCTTTTCTGAGGATGTTTCTTCTCTGGGCTTTGTGTATAATTTCCCAGTTAAAGAGGTCGACCCCTGTTCTCAAGAGCCCATAATCTCTCTCTCTCATTTTTTTAAGATTTTATTTTTCCTTTTTCTCCCAAAGCCCCCCAGTACATAGTTGTGTATTTTTAGTTGTGGGTCCTTCTAGTTGTGGCATGTGGGATGCCACCTCAGCATCACTTGATGAGCAGTGCCATTTCTGTGCCCAGGATTTGAATCAGCGAAATCCTGGGCTGTCGAAGCAGGGCGTGTGAACTTAACCACTCGGCCATGGGGCCAGCCCCCCATAATCTCTTGCTCTGCCTGGTGGCTGTCTGAGGTACTGCACACTCTCTAGTGCTGTACTAAGTCACCGTGCTTTCCTTTGTTCTCAGCAACCCCAGGCATCTGAAGTATACTGTCATTCCCTTTAGCATTCTTTTATTTTTTTAATTTTTTTTAAAAAATTTTCTTTCTTTTTTTTTTTTGGAGGAAGATTAGCCCTGAGCTAACTACTGCCAGTCCTCCTCTTTTTGCTGAGGAAGACCTACCCTGAGCTAACATCCATGCCCATCTTCCTCTACTTTGTATGTGGGACGCCTACCCCAGCATGGTGTGCCAAGTAGTGCCATGTCCACACCCGGGATTCGAACCAGCGAACCTCAGGCTGCCAAGAAGCAGAATGTGCGAACTTAACACTGCGCCACCGGGCCAGCCCCTCCCTTTAGCATTCTAAGTCAGGTGAGACAGAAATCTGTTCCTCAGGCAGCCCCCCTGTAAAGCCAGAATGTTGGACATACCTTCTGCTCTTCTCTTTCCCTCCCAAGGAAGAAGCTGGGAGTTGGGAGCATTTTCCTGATTGCACTGCACTGTGCTGGGTGGATGGGGGCTATGGCAGGTAAATTCAACAAACTTTCTTCACTTTGATGTGGCTCTGCTTGGCTTTGCACTCACCTGCGGTGCTACAACCTCTTAACTGGCTTATGGAATTCTTACAAAGGCGATTTGGTCCATATATTGTTGTTGAGTTGGTGTCTCCACGAGGGAATAAGGGCCTGGGGTTTCACATTCTGCCATCTTTCTGATGTCACTCTTTAGTGTTATCCAGATCTCTGTTTTATGAAATGGAGATAATATTGGTAGAACTTTAAATAAGGTAGTGGTACCTCTAATCTGTCTCACCTCCATTTCCAAGTGAGGATTAAAGAAGCCATTCCAGGCTTCTGGCTTTCCTGTCTCTGTCTCTGTCTCTAGTAATGGTGGCTAACATTTAGCGAATGCTCATTGTGTGTTAGGAGCTGTTCATGTTCCTCTTATGTGTATTAGCACGTTTACTTCTCACAGTAGTTGTGAAAGGAAGATACTGTGATTATTCCCATTTTACATGTGAGGAAACTGAGTTAAGAGAGTCCAAGTAATTTACCCAAGGTCATACAGCTGATAATTGTATTAGACACAATTTTAAAAAGCCATTTTATAGCATGAAATGAATATATATATTAATGTATGTTAATATAATTAATATATATAACTTAGAGTCACTTACATTTATTTATTGTAGGTCAAGTAGAACAACTTTTTAAAGACTGTTGACTATCCTGACTATCACAGTTTGATCTTGGAATTATTTGTTAGGTATTACTGGAAATCCTGTGTTCTGGAGTTGTTAGAATAATGCGCCCATATATTTTCTCTTCTTTCCAGCTTTATTGAGATATCACTGACATATAGTGTTGTGTAAATTTAAGATGTATGATGTAATAATTTGATATATGTTTATATTGCAATATAATTACCACAAAAAGGTCAGTTAACAAATCCATCACTGCATATAGTTGCATCTTTTTTTGTGGTGAGAACTTCTAAAGTCTACTCTCTTAGAAACTGGAAACGAATATTCTTTAATTTGAATAAGTCTTGCTTATATTATGTAAACCCTAAGTCTGTTTTTGACAAAATCTTTTGTTGTAATAGGCAATTATTGAGTTACTATGGATATTATTTTTTGTTGATTATGAGTGGTAATTATGCTGTTGGAAATCCCTATAGTTTAAATATCCAAACATAGAATAACATCAAAGATGCATATTTTTGCTTTTTGCAGGACAGAGTTCATTCAAAGAGGCAGGATTTCAATCACAGGGGCTGGCTTTCTCAACTACATTTTGGAAACGTTTGCCAGCACGTTCTTAAGACAGGGAGCCCAGAAGGTAAGCTTGGTTGCACTTTGAACCAGTGTTAATTTTAAGAAACCATGGAGATTCCCATTGGATTCTTGAATAAGGCTCAGGAACAGACATAACAAGAAAAAAGTATGGTTAATAAACAAATTTATGCAAAAATAATTACCCTCCCTAATTATTACATAAAACCAAATCAAAGTAAAACTAAGGTGCCATTTGTGGCCCATTAAATTAAAAATATGCTGATGAAAAGTATGGGATAATATGGAGAATACTTATAGTCTAATTAAGACAAATAAGCAGAATGAATACAGTCTATATAATATGATGACAACTATTTAATAAAAAAGATACTAGCTAATACTTATTGAGCACTTACTATGTGCTACTCACTCTAAAAAGAATTTGTATTTATTATCTCATTTATTCCTCACAAACCTTTGAAATGGCTGTTATTTTTGTCCTGATATTATGGATGAGGAGGATGCAGAGATCTGGAGCTTCTGGTTGTCTGTTATGGTGGTTTTCAAACTCTAGGCTTATGGGAGCTTAGGCTTCTGTGATCCAGAGCCCACTTTGGAGTTCTAGGGTCCTGTGTACCTTGTTTTAAATAGGGCTATTCTATTTCTAATATGTCTTACATGATATTACACATGAACTTGAGATAGCCTATTCTGTTGCTTAGAGCCAAGTCCATTCCTTATGCATCTTTCTATGCCTATTACAGGTGTTCTGAAGTGTTTTAAAATTATTATTTATAATATTTTATTTTATTATTGTTGTGATAATGAGCATAATCACTTATTTCCAGGATTTACTCAGGAATTATGCACATGTTACTTAGTTTTGTTTTGTGAGTTAGGCTGAATGGCTGCTCTAAAGAACTATTGGTATGACCTCAGAGATTTTTCTGGGTAATGGACCTTTGTTCTCGTTTTGCAGATCTAGGTTCAAGAATGAACCTGGACCACGATGTGGTAGTCTGGGAGGCTGAGGGTGAAGAATGAACATTTGCCACTGTACTGTACTCCATAGACATACTGTTGAGATTAATGAGTGTGCCTGGCCCAGATGAGCACATATCCAGACTGGCCCAGCCTGTCTACGCCTGGGCTTGATGAGGGTCCTTGAGCTTCCAGAAGGTCTGATCTGACTGGCGTTCACTCAGACAGTATTGCAGGTTTTTCTGCTATCTTTAAAAATATGCATTTGTGAAAACCCCCATGTTCTGCAAAATTGCAGTCTAAAAATAATAGGGCTGATGAGAAAAATAATTTTGTTTCCATTTTCCTGACTGAGTTGACTTCTTATACATTGTTTAGATCAGGAATGGCAAACTTTTTCTGTGAAGAGCCAGATAGTAAATATGTTAAAGTTTGTGGGCCAAGAGGCAAAATGGAGATATCATGTAGGTACTTTGTAACGAGAGAGAAATAAATTTGCACATTTTTTTTAATTGACAAAATTAAAAATATAATAATAATAATTGAATATAGTTTTGTTTGTTTTGTAATACAGGTCTACTAAGTATAATTCTTAGAAGAATAGAATTCTGTTTTTTTTTTTTTTGAGGAAGATTAGCCCTGAGCTAACATCTGCTGCCCATCCTCCTCTTTTTGCTGAGGAAGATTGGCCCTGAACTAACATCTGTGCCCATCTTCCTGTTTTTATATGTGGGACACCTGCCACAGCATGGCTTGACAAGCGGTGGGCAGGTCTGCGCCTGGGATCCGAACTGGCCAACCCTGGGCTGCTGAAGTGGAGTGCATGAACTTAAACGCTGTGCCACCGGGCCGGCCCTTGGAATTCTGTTTTTTGAGAGAGATAATATTTAGCTGAATTGGGGTCAATTGTTAGTATTCCCTAACATCAAATCGATTGCAAGTGTTCTTTTGTAAAAACCATTCTTATCTCATGGACCATACAAACACAAGTAGTGGACTGACGTTAGCCTGTGGACTATAGTGTGCCAACCTTGCTTTAGATAAATAGATATGGTTTGGTTAATCCAGGTCAGTCTGTATTTGGCCTGTCCATCAATCTGAACCTACACTGGTTGTATACATTCTGATCCTGTGAGATGCGTAAAGTAGACATTATTGTTCCCATTTTATTGATGAGAAGTGTCTTGAAGACATAAGTGCACCCAGTATTGTAGGTGGCTGCTTCCCCACCTTCCTTCTTCTTAGAAGTATATACTGAGCACCTGCTTTGTGCTAGGCACTGTGTTAAGTGTGGGCTAAATGGATTTACTCAAGGTCACAGGACTAGCAAAGGGGGTGTCTGGACTCAAATCCCCATCTTTTGTTGATAATCTTACACTTCCCACTTTTCTGTGCAGCCCTCAGATGAATGAAGTGGAATGTTTGCCTACTCAGCAGCATGAACTTCACAAATACAGCTGTGCATTAGATGAATTTGTGTTGTGGTCTCGTTCCCCCTGTATTTATTAGGACTCTTTGGTTGCAAGTTATAGAAACTACTTTAGGCTAGCTCATTGTAAGGTTGCAAGGGTGGGGAGGCTCACAGGCTTCAGAATGGTCTGCACTGGGAACTGAAAGCTTCTGGAACCTGGGTAGTATTCTTTCTTTAGCTCTTGTCTGTAAGACTAGGCATCTTTTTTATTCTCTTCCTCTGTAGACTGGTGTTGTTTGCTCCACAGTCTGTGTAGTGTAATGTGGACCTCCACAGTCCAAGTGTACATGTTATATAGAGTTATGGCCAACAAAGAGACTGCACACTTCTTTCAATTCCAAATTTTCTGAAAGGGACACTCATTGGCCTTCCTTAGGTCAAGTATGTCCTGGAGGGTAGAAGTCAGGTTTACAAATATGGCCCGTCCTCTGCCATGACCACGAGGATCAGGATTGGAGTGTCAGTTCCCAGAGAAAGGGGTAGTGTGGTGGGTAAATAATCCCAAAAGTCTCTGGCATGGTGTCACAGTAGATTCTGTGCTCTTGATGGCAGAGAGGGGGTTTTATTAATCTTAATCCCAAGTCCCCCCAGTACATAATACCTTGGACAGTGCTAGTACATTTATGTGGAAATGAGTAGAAAGGAGAGAGAACACACAGTGAGGTCCACAGTTGGTTTCTGATGAATATTATCTAGAAATCATCAAGCGACTTTAAAATTTTAAACTAAGGAACCTAACTGATTCCTCAGTATTCTCACTTATTATGCTTGGAAGTAAGAGTATGTTTTTCCTGCTAGCTTTTGCCTTTTCCAAATTTACTTTTTTTTTTTAAGAGGCTTAGTTTAATTAGTTAGCTTTTCAATTTTAGAAGCCACTCATGCTTAAGTATCCTTTACCTTTTATCTAAGTAGTGGTATTTCCCGGTATCAGCCTGAGTTCCTGATAAAACCTTTACAGCTGAGCCAGCGTAAATGGCTTCTGCGGAAGTCACCATGAGAGTGTTTTGGTGACTTTATTTTCACTTTAGGACTGCATCCCTGAGGCTGTTTAGTGGTAAAGGTGGTATCTGATATCTATTCTTTTTTTTTTCTGGAAAAATCAAAACTAGGCACTCACAAAGTTTTTTTTATCTCTGTGTTTGTAAATTAAAATCTGCCCTTAGATATGGACCCCGCAGCTGAGGTCAGTTGTGTTTCTGTGCTTTTGGGGTCTTGTTCAATTGTTTTTCTTTTCTCCTTTCACCACTCTGAGGCAACTTGCAATTCAGGGAACTTTCTGACACAGATGCTGACTTTTCATACGTCACTTAGACCCCACTTTCCTCTTGGAGTAGAAGTATGTCGGCAGGAGAATGGGGATTTCCCCTTGGTATTCAAGTCAACAGATATGTCCTTGACATAGAGGCAGTTCTGAACTTACAGCTTACTAAAGCCAGTTATCTTTGTGATCTAGCACAAGTCAGTACACTCCCTGATCCTGAGTTTATTCGTCTACGAAATGTGAGTTAATGCATTCCCACAGATAGATCTGAGGGCTGTGTTCGAAAGCTTTCAGTAAATTGAAGAACACAGGTCAAATATACAAAGACATTCTCTTTGTTTTCAAGAATTTAAGGAAGTCCTACTCACATGTTTCTTTATCATGCTTTCTTTTTATGGTTACATGGGTTTTTTTCTTTCAAACTCATATGGGCACACACTAGATTTTAAACTCAGAAGTTCAGTTCCACAAATACTTGGGGTGTCAACTATGTGGCAGGCATTGGGAGAGATGCTGGAGACGCAAGTAGGAATAAGACAGAATTCATAAGAGGAGAGACTGTACGTTATACAGCTTTACTCCCTGGACGTCTAGATCAGGGTGGAAAGCATGACCAGCAGTGAAGAAACAGCTACTGTTACTAACAATTTATCGAGCCCCACTTGGTGTTCAGTGCTCAGCACCGTGATCAATGCTACAAAGGATATTAAAATAACAACTGGTGCTCACAGAGCTTACTAGATGCCACGCACTGTGCTTGGCATGCGTTACCTCGTCTACTTTTCTAAACAACTCTATGAGATAGGAACAGTTATTCCCATTTTATGTGTAGGGAAGTTGAGGACCCAAGTGGCAAAGCAGTTTTCTCAAGATCACAGAATTAGTGAGTGGTGAACCTGAGATTTGATCCCAAGCCTATCTGACTCCAGAATGTACTCTGGATGTACACAGTGTGTACCACATTGTCACACTCACTGGGCTCTGCACTCCAGCCACTTGTGTGGGACAAGGTGTGTGTCTTGATAGAGCCAGAGTAAGGAGATGTGGTGTGAACAGTAAGGGTGGAAAAATGCAGAATCAAGGAACTCAGTTACAATGAAAGAACGTGGAGTGGACCAGAGGACTGAGGGGCCGTGACGTTGGTATTTGAAAGGGCCTTTGAGTGGCTGCAGAGTGTCCTTCCTTCTGTTCAGAGCCCCTAGACTATTCTTATCCAGACTGCAGTTGGCCTAAATTCCAGAACGCCACACAAGTTGAGGGTGTGTTTAGCTGGCATTTCTACCATTTTTCCTATAATGACATACCCTTTATACTGTGTGGACTACAGATTTGTTGTTATGCTGTTTGTTTT